CGAACGAGCTCCAACCTAAAGGTTAGTGAGCGTAGCGAACAAACTTCAACCAGGACGTGATTGAGCCATGCGAACGAGATAATCTTGAAAATTAAGAAGTTAAACGGGGCAAAGCCCGCGGGTTACAGCTAGTAGGAAATAAATCCGAAAATTTATAGGGAATATTTTAGTAGAAATCAAGCCGGGTAAATGTAAATTCGCTTAGTATGCAGGTTTGCTGCGACGGGGGTATTTTTTTTATTTTATCAGCTCTAACAAAAATACGTTACAGAGATTTCTTAGTAAATTTAGCTTAATGTACGCTATTTTAATTTAAGTAAAGCACATACTGTACTTTTTGTCTTGGTATAATCTATAGAAACATTAATTTAACATCAGTACACTCAAACTTAACCGTTCATGAAATTCCTCCAATATTAGCTCAGACTATAGCTAGTAGTCAACTTGTAGTATCCAAAGACAATGGTACATCATGCACATTTACTTTTCCATAACCTATCTTCACATCCCAGGTTGCAAGCCTCCAGCACAGAACCGTTTTACCATTACTTCAGGGAAGGCCTAAAGGGCATTTAGGGTCTAAGAGCCTAAAGGCCCTTTAGGGTCTAGGAGTCGGGTCATTATCACGTGGCTACAGGCTATTTGGTGATTAGCAGGATTTTAATCTTGTACTTTACGGTTCGAAGGCCCGTGCTATACCACAAAACCAGCTTGCTCCCCGTGTATTTTTGTATGTATATTTACCAACATACTACATGTACATACTAATAATGATTGCTATCATTGCTTTTACATGAGCAGTATTAGCTTATTCATCAATTGAACATTCTTTGCTTATTTTGTTCAAAATATTTATGAATAAATTCGAATGTAACAACTTCCTATATTATCAAATATACGTTTACACGACTCGCAGCAAACCCTCAGAACCGCAAAGTAGACTTGTATTCATGAGGCAACGCTGTGTGGAAGTTATTGACAGTAAAACCTTTTACGACTTTTAGCGGAGTAAAATTCAATTCCGACATTCCGCCCACGTCGTGAAAACCACCAATCAAAGAACCAATACATGTGTAAATCCAGTGGATAAAACTGTGGTGGATGGAACTTTACTGAATGTATCGAATTAAAAACTAAATACAATACCATACTATAGTCCATCTTTGATTTGATATTCATAACTGTACTGTGGGTTGTGAGATCAAGACGATATTTATTTTTTGCAAACAAATGAAATATGCAAATTTGGCTCAAATTAAATGGAGCTGGTGAGAAACTATGCCTCCCGTAATTGGAGTAGAAAGGGTTAAATAATTACAAAAATATATACCTTTGGTTTTTTTTACAATTAACCATTTTGGATTTTTTTAATACATCAAAGTTCTACTACGTCTTTGTTACTGACTAAAGATCACTTTGTTACTTAGCCATAAGGGTACACTTCCATATCTGCTGGCACAAACAACCGAATGAGTAATATTGTAATCAATATATCGATCGATATTAATTATTCGGTTGTTTGTGCCAACAGATATGGAAGTGTACCCATCTAAAATATTGATCAATCCAAATCTCTTTACACAGCTTCAAATGCATTCAAACTCAATGATTCAGAATCTCTTCCCAATATTATTTTTACTTTTTTGGCTGAATAACCATAAAAAGGCAAATTAATCGCTGATCTAGAAACACCTATTAGTTTGGGGAAGCTACTTACTTATTTAATGTACCTAAACAAATGCAATACTTATTAAATATGCAAGGTAGCACTGACAAGGCATCTCTCCTAGAAAATCGAGACGCTGTATTTTTACGTAGCTACTATATAGGAGAATCCACTCATTGGCTCATGGCTAATGTACATGTACAATCCCACTAACCATTAATTCTAATAGACTAATTACAGAGTACACCGCAGTACAAATGGCAGCCAACTTCTCGTAATTCTCTGATTCAGTGCTACCTCCACTTGTATCCTAGGCTCAGTAAAGGAATACCAAGTTTTTTGTTGTTGTTTTTGTTTCCTAAGACGCTAGAAACGAGCCCGGGATTGTTTTTCACATTACTTCAGGCTAGACCTAGGGGTTGCGGCATTATCACTTGAATAAAATCCATTGGTGATTTTGCAGGATTTGAACCTGGGACCTCATGGACTGAAATCCCGCACTCTAACCACTAAACCAGCTTGCTCCCCCAAAGGAATACCAAGTAGTAAAATTTAATTTTTATTAGACCGTTCATTCGTTTGGTTAACAGTTAGATCATAACTGAAATAACAGAATTATTTTCCCATGTTGACTTTTTAATATACAGAGGGGTGCAAAAGTAGGTATACAGTAATGAAAAATTTTATAGAAAAATATATTCACACATATAAAAAGCAAAATTTTCAAATTTATTTTAAGAGTATTAAGACACTTAAATTAACTCTTAAAAATATTGTACTTGACAAAAAACACTCAATTCCTTGTGTGTTCAAGCTGATGCCTGTTTGTACTGTATACCTACTTTTGCATCCCTCTGTATAATAGTATGCTGTTTTATACGGCAATTAACTATGTGTCTTTTCGTCCCAACTTCGCATTCTAGGGAGCCCAAAACCGTTTTACATTTTATGACTTCCGACTAGGTAAAGAGGGTTCTCATATAGCTAAGCCCTTTTGGTAATTGACAAGATTTGGACCGGGTCTTGGGGGCCGAAGTCCCACGCTTTACAAAATTAAGTGTATTTTATTACAACGAAGCCTAATTTTCAACGCTAATAAAATGTAACTTTAAACAATTATGACAGTTAGCAAAAATCTACTTAGCTATCTTAAAATGTTGCACTTAGTTGACATACATTGACTGCATTAGATTCTAAAATGTTCAATCTGAGGGAAGTTAGAGGCAATAAACTGCTTTTACAACATCATTCCGATAGCAAACTCGTACTTGTGGAATAATATACACTGATGACTATGACTTTACTGTGAATACATAAAATATATCTAACTTTAGTTTTAACCGAATGAAATTAAACTAAACCTGTTAATGAAAAAACCGGGGAATGAATTAATACTGTTTTTTAGTAGACAAATTTAGCATGGTGGCATTGCTACATGGCATTTCTTGCACTTTATCTGTGTACATTTCACAGTATTTACACTCTTTCAAATCAAAACTAAAATAACGAACTGAGTCAGTCAGCAATTACGCGAACGTAAAATTAATCCTAAAACGTAAAAATTAGGTCCAGCCATACGCTTAAAGCACTGTAGGCTACTTGCTATTGAAATGTTCATCATCTCATAGCATCAAACAGTTTCAGTTCTAAAGGCCAAAAAACAAAATCAATTAAATCAATCAATCGATTAAATTCATTAATTTCGAACTATTTCCACTTTTTTGCCAAGACCACCTTTGCTGAGGTTTTGTGTGTTTGCATTGTCAAATAAAACATGACGCTATTATAGTGTTCATGAAAAAGGTTCAATCTGTTGAACAATCACCAATGATTCATCTATCTGATACAATTCGAGTGATTGTATTTTTTTACAAATATTATTTTTCACGAAGGTTCTAGACAAATGAAATACAAAAACCATCGTGGAAATTGGCAGACTTCAAATCAGGCAATTAACTGTAAACTTATCAACTGTCAGCCAATCAGTGCTTCCTCGTCGTCAAACCGACCAATCAACGTTGAGCAGATTACTTTTGACCACAAAGCTCCACCAAACTAATCCTCGATGGCAGCCACATAAGAAAAGAACTGTTTTATTTCGTGTTCCTCATGAACACCTTAGAAAAGATCTACAAAGAACAGAAAAGTTATTTTTTCTAGTTTATCAATATAATTTAATTTTTTTTACAAATTAAAAAGGCGTCGGTTTATTGATTAATCTCTGTTCAATCAACTCAGAATGATAAAGTCATTTATGATAAGGTCGATCTGATTTTTTATATTACCGTGTTGTTAACGTATAAAGTACAAAAATAAGATAGTACTAAAGAATGTTGTACCAGTTAAATTATAATTATTGTCTGGTAACAAATTACGAAGGCATCGGTTTATCGATTAAACTCTGTATAGTCAACTTAGAATGTGACAAGGTCGTTCATCTCACCTTGTTGATATTGTTGTTATAACATATAAATAGTACAAATAATATAATGCTAAAGAAGAGGGCCCGACCATCGTCACCCATTACACGGCCACCAACCTGTAGAGCGACGACTTCGGTCCAGAAAGAACTTTTTATCACGGACACGAGTCCTGGATGGATCATTCTCAATCGAGTGGCAAGGTGGGAGGCCACGTTAACTAACCCTCCCATACCAGCCAGGGAGACTCTGGATCCTGGTGGAGGCCTACATTACACGGTGTGAAAGACCCTTTAATCAAATCAGGGTTGAGGTACCAAATTGCAAGAAAAACATGCAGAAATGGGGTCTCATACAAGACTAATTAAACATCTTGTGTGCATGTGGTGCTGTTCAGGATCCAGACCATCTGCTGATCTGTCCACGCCTAGACCAGTCTTGCACTTGACTTGATTTTTTACAAGCGAATGACATAGCCATATCAGTAACTAATTTCTGGAAAAGTAATCCTTAATCCTTGGTATAATCCCCGTTTATTTACACGTATTCGTGAGAATTTTGTAATACTCCCTTCATTGATTAAAATTATAAATCCAATATTTTATCCAAAACCACCAGCTTGTTTATGTTGATCGATGGAGTGTGTACAGCAGTATCTAAACCATGGACAAAAAATCTATGATCCAAACACAATGATGGAGAGTGTAACGTAGTTACAGTACACACTCAATGCCATTGGTGTCTCTCAGAACTCTACCTCCTCGTCCGTCTGTTTCTAGATGCTCGTTTGGTCTGTCAAGTGTCAATTCCGAACGTCAAAATCAACTGAAACTGGTTGCTAGTTAGTTAGTTATTGACTGACTGTAAAAAAATACCGGTGTTAGCGCTTCTTGAAAGTGGGGAGTGGTCTTTTATTTTATTTACTATTACTTACTCCGAAGAAGTTGTTTAGTGTACATTTAATTCATCAAACATTACTTACTTATACGTGTCAGAGTTACCAACAATGCATTGATTTCCTACCAAAAAGCAGTCAGCATAGCATTATTCCCTTTGCTAGCTAGGCCATGCCTATCTTAAGAAATTAGGCCTAGCCCTTTTAGGCCTACTAATTTAATGATGAAATCTTGACGTTTTTGTAATTACAGCTATGGATTTCCTTTTTATATTAGAATTTTTAGTTGCGTTCCTAATTCGGTTATGGCTTTGTTTGTCGGATTACAAACAAGTAATTTCAGATCGAGTGGAGATTTCCACACCACTCAACTCATGGAAAAGAGGTAGGCCTACGCAAAATGTTAAATGTTCATTTAACCTAATTAGTATTTAAGTTACCATTTTGGTAAAGGGGAAGCGAGCTGGTCTAGTGGTTAGGGCGTGGGACTTCGGTCCCTTAGGACCCAGGTTCAAATCCCGCCAAGTCACCAATGGATTTTATCTTAGTGATAATACTGCAACCCCTAGGTCTAGCCTGAAGTAGTGTGAATAACAATTGGGTTTGTGCCTAGTGTCCTAGGACGACAAAAAAGGCTGCAGTGTCTTTTAAAATGTGTAAAAGGATCCAACCATTTTTTTCAAAGTATGCTACTTACTCCCGGTAGGGCTTGACCTAACTTACTTTAGATAGACCTCAATTGACACATTCCGTTAGCTTAGGCTGAAGTTAACACATTTGCTACTGATCGCCACATATGTGTGCTCATTGCCCTGGCCCGAGGTATAAGTTACTTTTTAATATTAGCCTACATAAGTTAGAACAGAGTATCACCTGGTTAACACTACAAGCAGACCTTGGGCCAGTGATACAGCTAAGCCAACTGTCATAAGATGTCACTAAGTTAATCATCATAAGTAATATGGGACGGAAGTCTCCGTAGAAACCGGCCGTCGCAGGTCCATATGAATGAAAATTTTAGTAGCCTACTATTGTGGTAGTGAACGTGTTTATGAGATATATGTTAATCCACAGCATAACATGTGTAAGTTATAACTTTCCACTTAAAATAACTTAAGAATAATTATATTAAGTACTAGAGTCGTAGCTAGATCGTTTTTTACTTTTCTTTTAAGAAGTAAGTAAACTTAAGGATACGTTTTACGCTACAGTCTAGTAGGCTTTGCAAGACCTGTTCCAAGACCATTGCTTATTTTAGGCCATAGATTAATCGTCATAAGAATTTTTTTTTCCCTTTAGAATTTTAAAATTACGTAGGACAAACACAGCAATTTGTTGTGTTTTCTGGCTCCAAACCGAGGTTGGCCTAAGTTTACTGTGCGTCTTGTTTCAAAATTTACGTAACTTAGGCCTAACTTATTTTTAATGAGCATGGATCTGAAATTAAATTGCCTTATTTTTTCTATCTGTTTTAACAAACATACATTAAGTTAAAACAATTGGAAATAAGCAAGAGCTAACTTAAATGTACGTATGCTTTGGAAAGCATAAGCAAAGCATCTAAAGTCTGGAACTTTTAAGTTTGCTTTGACTGTGTTAGCCAGAGTTGAGAAAACTACAAATGTTGCTTTTGTAAATATAAAGTTAAAATAGGCTAAAAAACTTATTTCTTTCAGTCACAGAAGGAGTGGTTTTGTATGAAGAAGGTACAGACCCCTACATTGGGGACATGTTCCATGAAACTCCTATTGCCTTGATAGCGTTTCATTGGATGATACACAATATTCCTCGATGGCTGAATATCGTCTTTATCACCTGCGACTTACTATCAGCATTTTTACTTTATAAAGCAGCCAAACAATGTATGAAGCTTTTGGTAAGTATAAACACTATTTTTCTGTCAGTAAGCCTTAGGTTGTGCTTTGTAAAGCACTTTTAAGGCCCCTATTAGCCGCGAGCAACATGTGGCGCAGCTAGTGGAGCCGCCGGTGGTGACGCCGGTGACCCACAGCGTTTGGAACCTGGACACTAGTCGCGCAACACATTCGTAGCTCGCTCAAAAAGCGGAATTCACCACAACACTCTAGTGTCAAACATGACGTTGAGTGACTGCATCCACAATTTGCACGTCACTATTAGCACTAGACATTGTTTATCTAAACTAAAGACAACTTAAACCGCTAATGACACAAAAAGGAAAGAATACACTGTTAAATCACGTTAATAACGCATGCGAGCGCAGTCAGTGGCGTCGCATGCTGCCCACGGCTAATAGGCTCCATATACTGCAATGCCCCCCGACTGCCTGGACACTAAAACGGTCGCGACACATGTTGCCGAGCAAAATCACTCCCGGCAACACCTCGGGCAGCTTTTTCGGCGGCGTCACCGGTCTCCACGGCTAATAGGCACCATTTGACTCCATGCCCCTCTACACGTCCGACACCAGCGGCTCCACTAGCTGCGCCACATGCTGCTCACGGCTAATAGGGGCCTAAGACTGAAATTGATTAACCCTTTCGATGCTAGAATTTTTTTTTTTTTTGCAATTTTCTGAAAAAAGTACTTGAGTTAGGCCTATTTACTTATTCTGTCCGAAAAGTGCTAGGTTTGCCATGGGGGCAAAGTCAAGTGTGCAAGAAAAAAATCTGTAAAAAGCAAAATTTTTATCTCAGTTTGTTTAGGGCTAAGTCACGCATTAACCATGATCGGATTGGGTTGGAATTTGGCACGATGATTGCTCATCTTCATATGAGCATACAGCCCTGTTAACCCTTAGAGTGCCAGGCGAGAAATAAAAGTAACGCTCAAAAAATGCCGATGATTTTTCCCGAAGGTCGCGCTAAAAATGCCGAGCGCGATCTGGCGATTTTTAGGTTAAAATTTCGTAAAAATCGAATTTTCGATATTTCGACCAACGAAAATCGATGTATCGCATCTAGCAACTTTCGACTCAATGTTAATATATGGGTTAAAAGAATCCGAGTATTTATTCGGTTGTTATGACAGCTGTCCGATCATTACGAAACGTCCGGTCAGCCGGACGTTGGCACTTTTGGCTCGTTCTAAAAACGTCCGGTCGGCCGGACGTTGGCACTTTTGGCTCGTTTTAAAAACGTCCGGTTCCCCGGACGTTGGCACTCAAAGGGTTAACATATCGACCTATTCTTATCTCAAAAACCCTTTAGGTAAAACCCTATTCAAAAACTCTGTATGACCTAATGAGGTTTTAAGTCTAATGCTCGTTCATTTTCAAGAAGAGCTCGTTTACATCGCTCAATCAAGTCCTGGTTGAAGTTCCTTCCCTACACTCACTCACCTTTTGGTTGGATAATAACAGCTGAAACGAACTTTATAACATGCAATAAAACAGGAACTTTATGTTTTAACAGTTGTATAATCTACTTATCAAATTTTGGCTACTATAAAATAAACTTGGTCATAAAATAATTAAATTTTCAATACTGAAAGTCATTTGCCAATGTTCTGTCTAGGCCTAATTCATGAAGGTATAACTATTCTTACACCAAAGATGTTTAACTTAAATCTAACTTAAGGAAAGATGTTTAACTTCAATAACGGTCGCCATCCTTCTTTGCAGATGGATCGCCAGACGAGAGAGAAAGCTGGCTATGCAGAAGAGGTGGAGAAACTTCTGTTGACTGAGCAGGAGCTCAGTTCTGCTCCGATGTATGTACTAGCTGCTTATCTCTTCAACCCCTACACAATACTGAGCTGTGCAGCCCACACCACCACGGTGTTTGCCAACCTCGGTCTAGCTGTGTTCTTTTGCTCCATGCTTCATGGTAAGTTGGTGATTTTTCACATGTAATACTGAAGCCGCTTAAAAACATGCAATCTTTATGCTAATTAATTGATAAAATAGAAGAATTACCTTATCCAACCACAGTTGCTGGTATGACAACTAGTTTCGTTCCTTAAACTTCGTCAGGTCATTGTATGCAACCACATCATCAGTGTATTAATACATTGTGGTATGTCAAAAGATTCTTTAAAACACTGTCAGAATCACAATAGTAAAAACTAGTCATGTTGATCAAATTATTAAAACCGAATAAAAAGTGATAAAACTGGTTAAAAACTGTAAAAGCTGGCCAGCACTGTCTTATCACTGTCACTGACGAAATAAAACTGACTGAATCATGAGGTGTCTTCATCTTCATCTCTCCAGTGCCACCTGTATTTCAGTTGGTTTTGTTCTTCTTATTCAATACTTCTTTGATTTATAGCTTTTGAATATAGGCCTATGTATCAAATATAATATTTGACTGGAAGGAAGTCTGATAATTTAAAACCTTGAAAGGGTCGAGCTTTTTAGTTTTATAGATGGCGAATTCTTCTTTAACGTCAAGCTTAAAACTTTTTGTTAATACTCCCAACTATTTCCATGTTCTTATCAATAGATGTATTGTAGTTGTGTGATTCTGATATTAAATGTTCGCATAACTAACTGTGGTTGCATACAATGACCTGACAAAGTTCTAAGGAACGAAACTAGTTGTCATACCAGCAACTGTGGTTGGATAAGGTAATTCTTCTATTTTATCAATAATATATTCCAACCAAGGGTCACAATGAATAACATAAGCTAATTAATTGAAAGGAGATGAAATTGTGCTTTGGGAATTTTAAAGCTTATGAGTAGGTACCGGTAGGACTATGTTGATTTTGTTCATTCACGAATCATGGACTGTACCTCTGTGCTGTATTATAGTTAAATCAGATCAGTAGTTTTTGCATTTACTTAGAACAAATAGATACACTGACAGATACCACCACTATTTTGGATTATTCTGTAGGCCTACTTATGCCACTATTTGACAACACACACTGCAGAGGTTACTTTAGGTTAGGGTGTACCAAGTATGTTGATCTTGTAGCCTACTACACCATTTGAAAATAACCAACGAGTCATACTTCGGAATGTAAAATCAATTGAACTGACTTCGCTGCCTTTTGAGAGGGACAAATCAAAAACAACTTATCGCAGTTTTATTTCATATACACAGTTAAGTATGTTCTATCTAAAAATGTTTGGTTTTTTTGTTCATCGTGGATAAAAAACGTAATGTTTACCGACAAGCTTAACATCTGTTATAGCTTGGATAGTTAAGTGATTCTTGTGCTCGCCTAATTTAGAAAATTACTGTTTCAACCCTGAACAGATTAATTATAGCCTCGAGATCTTCAATCTTACATTTAGTGAGCGTTGAATATTCTTTGTGTAACCGTCACCAGCAACCATACCTACAGTACTGTTGTTGACTTACAAATTTGATTTTCCCCACAGGTCATTTGTTGGTGTGTGGCTTCTCCTTGGCCCTGGCGACTCTACAGTCCTTGTATCCCGCCTCACTGATCGTGCCGGCCGCTCTACTTGCCGCTCAGTCGGGTGGCGCTCGATCCTCCGCCTCTGCCAGAGTTGCGCTCCTCATCGTAGCCTTTGTCGTCCCATTGGTCGGCCTTCTCGGTGCTTGCTATCACATTAGTGGTAGCTGGCACTTTCTACATTCCACATATGGATTCATGTAAGTAGCTATACACTCACCAAACGATTGACTGTGATTATTGTTTGGCTTTAAGTTAAAATTAAGGTTTGCAGTATGGGAGGTTGAATGTGATGCTATGACAAGGATGCAGGCTGTGCATCTCTTCTCTTGTAAAGGTTTTTATGTTGGTCTTGAAGGTTTACAAAATTGTAATTGCTGTACTCTGTGCGTCGTCCTGTAATCCAGCTACTGGGAGGTCACGAATTGTGGATATTTATAGGGATGCACTGTGGATGCGATGCTCCCTGGTGTGGATTAACGTCCGCACTAGTGAGTACTACGACTATCCGCAGTATTATCCTGATAATTAGACCAATTCGTAAATTACAAGGAAAAATGTGGTTCGGATTCCACTATAAACTGTAGGTCCCTTAGTTGCCATTAGCTGTATGGGCTATTAATTAACAGCTGTGTCTAAGGAACATGTCGGCCTTAGTCACTAACAAGACTACAAGATCGCGCCACTCATCCTACACTCATCCTTCACTCATATTTGGGTTAAAATACGCACATAGTGGCGTCCCCATCTTAAATAATTGAATTGAATTGAATTGAATTGAATTGTGAGGATCCCCAGCTGGCCAAAAAATAGACCTATAGTGGTCTGGATAGTCAGCTGGAAAGACTATCCAACAGCTCTTTTCCTTGAGAAGCACTATGGCTTCACAATGGTTAGACACATGGCCCCATAGCCCCAGGTGGACAACTTGTGACAACCTCTTGCAGACATTATCCTTATGCTTGTTCCACAGTAGCCTTTAGTCAAGTTGGTCCCACAGTTATACCGTCTCTAGCTGACAGCCATGTTGGGTTTCTGCAAATAGCTTGTTCATCTCAAAACGGAATACTAGCTGGTCCTTCATAAGGTAAACACTAAAGCCACATTCACCCAAAGCCAGTTGGCGGATAGGTTACCTGCCTAAGGTTACTTTGAGATACACTAGACTAGAAGCATGCAACCTGCCCTAATGTATTGCTAAAGAAAGTGTTTTCCCTTCAAAAACTAACATTGAAATTTCACCTGATTCCTTAATTTTGTTTCAGCCTGAACATTCCAGACTTGCGTCCGAACGTCGGCCTGTTCTGGTATTTCTTCACAGAGATGTTTGAACACTTCAGACCGCTGTTTATTTGCGCTTTCCAACTTAACGCCAGTCTTCTGTACGTCTCTCCGTTGGCCTTGAGGCTGTACAAAGAACCTCCACTGCTGGCTGCTAGTCTTACAGCTCTCTCTGCGATATTCCGATCCTATCCAAGCATTGGAGACGTTGGCTTCTACCTCGCACTGTTGCCCATGTGGAAACACCTTTTTCACTGTGAGTTTGAAATTGTGTAATGATCTTAAAAGAAAATCATTTATCAATATGGTTAGCTGTGAATGATTTAGTGAAATAACAGTATTTGCTTAGCCTACAACTTATCTCATGTGAGTTGGAACAAATAGAATTATTTAATTTTGTTTGAAGTAGCCTACAGTAGAATGTTGATAATCCAGCCACGGGAAGGTCTTATACTACAGAAAACTGTTGTCAAAGAGGTGAAAACCATGAAAATAAGTAAAAATGTTGAAAACCATAAATCATTTCTTAAAATTCTCCATTGTCAAACTTAGGCCTATTCATTCCCTGAAGTTTGTCTTCCATTAACCACTATTTTCATTGTCAAGCTATCATCACAAGTTTAAAAATAAAAAATAACTTGACGAAGGAAAACCACCACTTTAGTAACAGTTAAATAAGATAAATAGGCTAACTGTCCATTCAGCCACAAGTTTTTGTTCACACAATGACAATACGTGAGGAATAGCAGAGAGGTATATGTAGATGTGGGGATTAGATGAACTCATGATGGGGGGGGTTGATGAACCCTGGTATTCAGCACGCTAAAACAATAAAAAAGGAGAGTAAAATACCGGTGTGTAAGGCCTGACTTGTACCTTCCTAGTAGGACAGGGTGACAAAAGGATGATGTACACCGCTGTTGTGCACAATCATACCACAGGGATACAGCATGCCGTTTGACACAACAGCTGGGAGGTTCGGATTGTTAAGATCAGATAATCAAGACTATTGTATGTTACATTTGGCTTACTCTAACCAAATCGGTCCCGGGCTAAGTCTTCCCATGCCACCTACGGTAATAGCTTCTTCCTGTAGGGAAATGTCCTAAAATTCAATTTAGCACACAGAAACAAATGCACACCCAGCCATAACATAGGCCTACACAATCCTATGTTTTTAGTGTAACTGTGTTCATGTGTGCTAAATGTTGAATTTATGTGTTGCCAACAACAATGCCTTGTAATAATTTTATGAAGCAATGTAGATGCTTTTGAACAACAATCAAAGTGTGGGTATGTCAGTAAATCGTCATAACATAATTTTTATTTCCATTATCCAGACATGCAGCAGGGCTTCGTAGTTGGATGTTTCTTCCTAGTAACTTCTGTGTTGGCTCCTGTATTGTGGCATCTGTGGATCTATTGTCGCTCTGCAAACGCCAACTTTTACTTCGGAGTCACATTAGCATTCGCTACAGCTCAGGTAACTTTATTAACCCTCTATCATTGTCGGAAAACAGTAAAATAATTAAATTTCTTGTATTTTGTTTTTCAACTCCCGGAGCTGTTAAGAAGTAAAATATGTTAAGTTAAAAAATTAGGTTATAAGTTTTTAAGTTAGGCTGTTAACTAAAATTACAATTATGCATACTCAGCAAAACTATTTTTTTTCAGATTTTCCTCATAACTGACATTTTGTTTGCCTACATCAAGAGGGAGTTTGCGCTGAAGAACGGTCTCCAACGAACGATCGACGGAGAAGAAGCCAAACTTATTCTCGAATAAATTCAAGTTTTTTGTCAAAAGGCTGAGATTATCGCCAGAGAAGAAGTGTTCAGTGCTTCGGCACAAGTTGCGGTCTGTGTACTGTGTGAAATTTACGGGTGTGTGGACGTAAAGACGACAACATCTGCGCTCACACGACACAGACTGTACATCTAGTCTATGTTCATCAGCACCTTCATATACCATCAACTGCAACTACGTTCATTAATTGATTTTACACACTTTTACTATTGACTAGTTCCAAAAGTGTGAAAGACAAACTAACAAATTTCAACCTGCCCTACTTCACAAAACACCGACTAAAAGTTTAGTCTGATCTTTGTCACCATATTCCATCAACAAACGCAACTACCCTCATTTTGCATTCCACGTTTCATTTTATTTTTTTATACTTGTGACAAATGTTGAATATTAATGTCATGTACAAGCACACATTAAAAGATTTGTAAATATTTTTATTTTTTTTTTCAATGTATTTTGCTGTAGCATTTTCAATTTGTATAATAATGTGAACATAAGCCTAGTTTAAATCTATACATGTTTGTAAAAAGTACTTTTAAGGATTATTCCGAGTATGGATGTATTAAGAAAATAGTTATTTGTGCAACTAGTGAGAAAAGTGAGCAATTGACTCACTCGAGAGAAATCTCTACTCACGAGCTGTAGGCGAGTGAGGAATGGTTTCTCGAGTGAGGCAATTGTACTTTGAACTCGAGTTGCACATTATACTTTTCCTACAGTTACCAAAAAACAAATAAATTGGTGAAGAAACATAACCTATTTTTACACAGAAGTGAACTTTTAATATAACATTTAATGTGAAGTGACAAATACAACAGTACAACAGCTGACCAGCTGATTTACAGCCAGTGCTGCCAACGTATTTCGGGCGCATACGACGTTGGCTGCATGTTACGCGCTCACTATTTCGTGCCTTCACGTTGCAAATTTGGAGTGAGACAAAGTAATTAGAGTGAGACAATGTTAACATTGTCAACAATGTTAACATTGTCTCACTGATGAGCGAATTGGCCACTTTGTTTTCTCAAATCAGTGAGAGAACATGTACATTGTTAGGTAACTGTAGGAAAACACATTTTTTTATTGAAAAGTACAGGGTACAGAAATTATTTATCATATTTGATGCAGGCAACAAACTATTACGTAAAGGAATTTTTAAAGTAATTTTTTATTGGAATTAATTTAGAGTGTTACTGTTTTTACCAATAGCATAAAATGTCATGGATCATTGGTTAAAACCAGGAAATGAATGCTACTCATGCGCCCCTTAAGAGTTGAGTTTACATTTTTTGAAAGGAAAATGTATCCAATAGGTCCAACAATTTTCACATTCCTATTATATATTTCTGTTTATTTGATAACACACAAGGAATTATCATGTCAACACCTAATGTAGAGAATAAAATTTTGTTCAAAAAGATCATACCTAGAGTCAATTATTTTGTACCCTCCTTTTTCTTGTGACAACAAATTACTTGTGATGTGTATATCTTCTTGGGAAGTTTAAAAGATGGACAAGCAGCTGGTTAAGGAATAGAGTTCAGATATCTTAACAGAGAAAATTAACGAGTCCAGGATGTAATAGATGCAACCGAAATAGGACAAAATAACCTTTAGTACTGATACAGAATAGATTAATAAACCAAAACCACTATAACGTGATAACAATTTTATGTTTAACCTTTAATTGTTTGGCCTTTAACTTTCTAAGGTATGATTGCTGAACTCTCACTTTCCAAAAATACTTCTACCCTGTTAGGTGCAGAAGATATAAGGGTAGAAATAATACTGTAATGAAAATGTTTTAACTTTTTTCCGTTCAAAGAACAAACAATTAACATTCACTGATATTTACATTTGTGCTTTTTTCCACCATCTAAAATTCATCTTTTACTAAGAACATTAGCTGCTTTTTGCTTCTTGGAACGTATTTTGCGTAATTTTTTCTGCTTATTTTTCTTTTCTTTTACAATGAGATCCTGGAAATGTTTGTTTTCCTTTGATTTAAATTTCTTCGCATTTGAATCTCCAACAAACTTGTGACCATTGGACATTTTATTCACTTTATTTTGCTTGTGTTTGATATCAACTGTTTGAAGGTTACCATCTTTGGTGGAACTTGAAGTACTTTTCTTTATCACCCATTGTTCCTGTAATTGGTAAAACAAAGTAGATGCATCTGTTAGCCAGTCATAATTTAAGATAGTATCTCTAGAAAAAGAAGTATCATACAAAATGTTATGATTGCGAGAAGCAAACCACCACATAACCTTAAACTTATAAACCAGAAAAACTGTTAAATGTAACCAGTACCAAACATAAATCTAGAATGTATGTGAAAACTTACAGGGTAAATATGACCTAAACGCTGTCTTTGTTTTGGAATGGTCTCAAATTATCTTATCACCCTTTCCTTTCATACACCACGAAACCAATTCCAAATTCAATAGTACAGTATGGAATTGAATTTTGGGGGTTCGCCTCTGAAATTGAAAAAGTTTTTAAAATTCAAAAAAGGTATATAAGAATTATGACTTTTTTACCATGGAAATCTTCGTGCAAAACAGTTTTTAAAGAATTGAATATTATGACTATTCCAAATTTGATTATTTACAAAACATTGTTAGCGGTGCATTCAAATTTTGATGACTACATTAGAGAAAACTTTGACCACATATATAACACTAGATTTAAAAATAATTTCCAATATCCGAGACACCGACTGAAGCTTGTAGCAAAAACACCTAAATACATGGGAAAAAAACTTTTTAATAAACTACCCTCAACTCTAAAAAATGTAATTAATAACAAATCTTTTAAAAGCAGCCTTGCTGATTTTCTGATTAGCAAAACGTATTACAGTGTTAATGATTACCTCAATGAAACTAACCAATCAATATGACTCTATTTTGTATGACATAGAAACTAATTTTTTTTCTGTCATCGTTTAACAAATTTTGCCAACTTGTTTACAAACATTTTTTATGCATAAGACATATTGTTGTACATTAGGTTAAGTTAGTAATAATCTTGACAATGTCATCTGTTTTTTAGCTGTGCTATGATTTAAAACGTTGATGTGACAATAAAGAATTATTTATTTATTTACCAACTTTTTATTCTGCAAAACTTAAGTGCAATACATTGTAAACAAGAGCGTCCTTTGTGTCCATAAGATCTAGCATAGAATGAAAAAGTAAGAAATCAAAACAAAACACCACTTAAATAGTAGCAAACTCATGGACAGGTTTGATCATGTTTTTGTATATAGTCCCTTAAAGTAAAAAGCTGAAAAGTCCTTATGGATGGGTCACTACTTCAGTACCGGTATCTAAAGTCAATGTTGAGACATTAACACATTCACTACCCCAATAGTACTAAATCTTTGATCCATATGGACCAGCGACAAACATATACGACAGATAGTTTCTACGTATATGCGACAGCTGGTCTCATTAAAATAGACTGACAACGCAATGTTATTAAAATGCGTATATCTTCGTAACGGTCTATTTCAAGAAGGCCCTGAATTCTCTGCAGTAGTCTACAGGGATGTCTGTCGCATATGTGCATCACTTGGTCTGTGGATATGATGATTAGTGACGTCATATAATAGTTGGCAAAACTATTTTTACTTTGCTCCATCTGTAGCCCGTGGTCTGCGTATACTATTAACCAAGTGACACCCGATCTATGTGGCAGCAATGACCGCAGTTTCGCAATTATGTGGCGATCGGTAGCAAACATGTTAATGCTAAAAAAGTTGGTTGGTTTATTTTAGCTACAACCTAATACAAAAAAATAAAAAAACTGATTTTCTATCCTAAATTCTAAACAGCTCTCTCTGTACAGAAAACCATTTTTTGTAGATGATTCAGTGAATTTCTTACTAAACATGAGACATTTAGTTATTTGACACAGGCAAAATAATACAAACAGTAACAGTTTACAGGTTAAAACTTTAAGCAAAAACTGCATGGTACGATAACACCAAATTAAGTTGAGGCTTTTAACTGCCACTGTTTAGTTTTAAAATTACAAAATACTTAAAACACTGGACAATCACGGTTGGATTGCTAAATGTAAAGTAAAAATAAACATTCTAGCTGGTTAGCTTACTTTAATAAGGCTTAAGCTTCAAAATAAAACCTTCAGACTGATTGTAATTTATTATATTACCTTATTCCTGTTCCGGTGCCTCATTTTCAGTTTCCCTTTGGAGTTTTTCATTTGTAGATTCCTTGGAATGTTTTGATAGCTCTGGAATAACCGATTGTTTATCAATTACAATTTTGCATTGAGACAGTAGTATTTTACTCAGGTTTAAACCAACTACATACTCAACTTCTGATTACCAGGCTTACGAGCTCAGTTCATCATCTTTAACTTTTTGCCATATTAGATCAAAACCGGACTATAACCGTTATAGATGAACAAAAGATTAAAAGGCTAAAGCTTGCCTCTGGTGACTTTGCCATCTTCACTTCAACAGTCATTTCACTGATTTTGTTATAATTGCTTTGACCTGAACCATCACCATGGATCAGTGGCGGCGATAAGAGCCTGCCCCCCCTCCTCCCGTAACTTTCGTCAACTGCCCCCCCCCCCCCTCTCCCAATAATCTTTAAAAACATTATCATAGGATTTTCTAAACTTGCATTTTTGCTTGGCACAGCATCTCCTGAGGCACCAAGGCGTCATCATCTTCTTACATGATCGCGGAAAAATTGTGAATACTTCCCTTAGTCATTGAAACATTATCTTAGTCTACCGTGATTGCAGCCAAACCTGGGACATCTACAGATAACAACATCATCTCCCCAAATAGCGGCCCAATTCCTAATATCTCATGCAAAGACAGAAACGTCATTTTTTCTGCAATCACGGCAAAATCCTAGATATATCACTCACGGAAAAAGAAACGTCATTGTCGTGTTCGGCAATTGCATTACAATCTAGAATGCCGCACACGGTCAAAGAAACATTAAAACCGTCCTCCATTATCGCAGCAAAATCTTGAACGTCTCCTGCGGTCGTGTGGACATCATTATTGTCTTCTGCAATCACAGCAAAATATTAAACATCTCCCGCAGCTGCGGAGACATCGCCAACATCACCGATGGGAAAATGTCCTCCTCAATATCCGCGATCGCGACAAAAGCATAATCTTTTAATCTCGTGAGCGTGACCCCTCCTCCCATCAGTACCCCTCTTTAACAATAACCTTTTAGCTTGGTAACAGTTTCAAATTAATGTTGGTTTATATTATGCTTATGTTGGATTATTGGTAAAATTTAATGACTTCTCATGACTGTGCGCAAGAACAATCTCAGAAAATTGGATGAGATGATTTTTTAAGAGAGTAAACAATTCACTTTGCCTATAACAATGTACAACATTAAACAACTCTAGAACAATTTTATTTTTACATTTTCCTTCCACCTTTGTGTTCTTACCTTAACAGTAGTGTTTTCATTATCAACATTTTCCAATTTCCTTTTTGATTTTTCTGGCAAACTTTCAGTGATTACTTCTGACGCTGGACTTTCTTCATTGGTTTTGACTTTATTTTTATTTTTCTCTCCAAGCCTGATTCTTTTGCTATTCTTCTCTGTTTTGATGTGTTGTTCTCCCTAAGGTAAACAATATTAGGATTATTGTACTAGTAGATTTTTCACAGTACAATACAACCCACTCTTCCGTCACCTACGGGACCGGGGCCTTGGTTGGAGCAATGAAAGGATCCTTTAGGCTACTTCCTTTATTCTTTTTGTTTTTAGGTTTTGCCTCATTCTTCTCTGTTTAAAATAATTTTAATTTTCAGCAAATTCCCAAGGAAATGAACACTTAAAAATAATTTGGTCCTACCATTAATAGAAAATAAAGCCCTGCATACGTTGGGCGATTCGGCCGCCCGTCGATGGGAAAAAGATTGCCGGCTTTCATATTGTCGGTCAAAACGTGATTTTTACTCCAGCAATCAGTCAGGCAATATCATGTGAGGTAATTAAATCAGGGTTTGTTGATCAGTGTGAGAATGTAGATTAAATTTACAAAAAATTAATAACAATAAAACATTAACCCTTTGAGGTCAAATTTATTTTAATTTTTCACCGAGTATAGGTGGCCCTCAGGAATGTCGCTCAAGATGATTGCTCGGTCCCACTCACGAGGCAATCTTGTCCCTAGGGATCTCCGAATCGCCGGCAATTTGGTGGATTGCCAGGAAAAATCGAACAATGTCAAAATCGCCGGCAATCCAATTGACACACCCCCATACATTGGGTGATATTTAGGCAATATGGTTGCCGGCTTGACAAATAAATTTATTGTATTACATTGCAGCTTATTCTATACAAAGCCTTGATGCTTAGCTTTAGTGAAATGCTTTTTGTCCAATCCTTATACCGATGCTTGATAAAAATCATGGGTTTAAATATTTCAAGATTGGTTAATAGGGAGAACGACTAGATCACATTTAAAAATTTATTTTCAAAGGAAAGATACAATAATTTTCCCAGCAATATGGAAAATTGTCATTATAAACAATATTTCTTTAGTTTTGAGATGTTCAAAGTACCCGCTTAAGCTATAAAATACCGGGTGTCCGAAAAAGAACTGAAACATTTTAAAGGCAAGATCCCAAATAAGAGACTATGTTATATGTTTTATATATGAATTTAAAGCTTACATTCTCAAGTTTTATAAGAAACTTAGTATAACTCAATGTGAGCACCATTAGTGGCCCGGCATAAATTTAAGTGAAATTTGACCTCTTCCCAGGTTTTGGCCAGTACTTCAGGGGATATAAACGGTGCCATGTAATGTGACATGTTAGAGGAGTAAATTCCCCCATAGTTGGGTGACATTGAGATGGGGAATGGCCATGTCTATTTTCAACAGGATGGAGTGCCACCATACTACAGTTTGCGTGTGCGAGAAGCGCTGGATACTCGTTTCGACGATCGGTGGATTGGCAGGGAAGGGCCCATCCAATGGCCTCCTAGGAGTCTAGATATGACTTCTCTAGACTTGTTCCTTTAGGGAGCAGTAAAGAATGATGTCTACTCGGTGCAGATTCGGAATCTGAATCACCTCCGACAGAGAATAGTCGCATATGTGGTGCAACATCCGCTAAAGTACTGACCAATACGTGAGAAGAGGTCAAATTTCACTTAGATTTATGCCGGGCCACCAAAGGTGCTCATATCGAGTTATACTAAGTTAAGTTTCTAATAAAACTTGAGAATTTAAGCTTTAAATACATATATGAAACATTAGACATAGTCTCTTATTTGGTATCAGTATTTGCCTTTAAAATGTTTCAGTTCTTTTTCGGACACCCGGTAATTGAATAGTAGTAAACTAAAATACTACAAACCTCTACAACACCCTCTGTTTCTTCGAGTGATTGATTCTCAAGGGATCTTTTCCTTTTCTTTTTTCTCTTTTTGTTTGTTGAATCTGCGGTTGATTCCTCCACATTACTTGCATCTTGAACGCTATCATTATGGCTTTGGTTCTTTAATGTGTCGTCACTTTCTTCTATGGAAATGTCTCCTTTCTTTTTCTTCTTTTTGGTTTTAGATTTGTGTTTAGTGGGCTGAAAAGAAGAATGTGAATATGCATTGAAAGCTCAAAATATAAACTAAAAGAGTACATAGTATCTTGATTTAACTGACTTCATAAATCATCATTGTTTGGCCCAACATAATCCCAAAAATTGTTCAGTTTAGTAAAATAACCCATGTTGGGTTAGGGATGTAACATTGAGCAAAAGTCCTGGGTTTAAAGTAAAGAATTGTCTTTTGTGAAGCTAGCATGCTATTCTAAAAAAAGTTCACTCTGGTAAAAGAAACACATCTCTGCAAACAACAAAAATAGTTCACATCCGCTCTGTTGAATAATTTCAAGATTTTTTGTTGAAAATGAAATCAATCATCTATTATATTATTAAAGTGATACAATCAAATTTTATGTAAACGGTTAAGGCCATTTACCAAATAAAAATATAGGCATATGTCACATCAAAATGAAGCTTAGAGTGTGTAGATTTGCCGAAAAGTATTAATATGGACGAATTTCCTAAGGGCTCTGCCCCACAGGCCGATTTCCAAAGGGCTACGCCTGGCATGCTTATAAAGTTTACATGATTTAATTTAATTTAGTTAATGAAACAGCTGGTCAGTACAATGAACTGGTGTTTGTTTATTTACTCGAAAAAGATGTTTGTGATGCTTTATGTAGATTTAGGAGGGTTATGTTTGGTTTTAAAGAAAGGTTGTATACGACGTTTTGTAAAGTATTGCTCAAAGTTTCATTTTGTAATTTATATAGTAAGCTACATGTAAAGAGGCTTGACTAAAGTTGAAGAATTATGGTAAAACATGTCATTCGTGAAGCATCAATATGAAGCAGTTGATGCTGTTGCTACACTAAGGTATGTTGTCATATACTTTTGGATCTATTAACCCTCCCGGTGTCAACCATCGATGCATCGATGGTAAGGACACGCTCTGGGGTGTCAAGCATCGATGTATCGATGATAGTGCAAACTGTTACAGTTCGTGTAATAACTCACTCAATTTCGCTCCAAATCGGACTGAATTCACATGACTTTTAATCAGCGCTAAACAGGCTTTATTATGATGTCTGTCTCTAAGCTCCTTTCTCTTTTGCCTGTCTCCAGATGTTATGAAAAAAATATAAATGTTTACGTTTCGTTGCCGTTGACGGACGACGGTGTCACTAGTTGTTGTTGTTTACAAGTGGTTTGATATCGTTTACTACGTAGTGGTTTGTTATTTTGATTTTATTATGTTTTATCTATGATTTTATGTTGTGAAAATGGATAGTAGCGATATTAGAGTTGCTTTAGATGAAGATTTTAGTGATGCAGACTCTGTTGTTAGCGACATTGAAGTGCCTGAAGATGTTTCATTACTTGATTTTTCGTCTGGAAGTGATGAAATCTATTCACCTCATTTGAGTGAATTGGAGACATCTGATCGGGAAGAAGTAAATGTGGATGATCCTGATCCTGTTCCAATAGGATATCAGAATGAAGAGAATTACGTTGAAAATGAAGTTAGGCCTAATGCCAATATTCCTGTGAATGACCAAAATGTTGTTTTGCAAAGACAGCCATGGGTTAGGGTGTACCCACCTGAGCCTCCCAAAAATATTGCTACTGAGTTTGCTGTTAGGGACCCAGAGCCTAGGAACCTTCCTCCAAGAAATAGTCGTCCAATTAGCTACATAAACATTTTTTTGACTCAGGCTTTCTGGCTTCTCATTACTAGGGAAACAAATGCCTATGCTAATCGTAGAATAGATGAGAAGAGAGACACTCTGACACCAAATTCGCGGTGGAAAAAATGGGTACCTGTGACTCTACAAGAAATGAAAAAATTCTTTGCTATTTTGCTGAACATGGGTGTGATAGTGAAGAAGAACCTGAAAACCTACTGGGATACTAGGGGCTCTCAACACATCCCATTCTTTCAAAACACAATGTCCCTCAATCGGTTTTTATTGATAACCACGTTTTTTCACATTACATCCAATCGATCACTGGAAAGGGGTGCAGTAGGCTACGATCCATGGGTGAAGGTAAGGTATATGTATGACCATATAAATACTATTTTCAAAACCTACTTCATCCCATCTCAAAATGTTTGCATCGACGAATCCCTTATCGGAATGAAGAACCGCTGTGCTTTTATACAGTATCTTCCAAATAAAAAGCACAAACAATATGGAATTAAAAAATTTCAGACATGTGACAGCAATACAAATTATGTTTTGCATGTTGAATTGTACAGCGGGACTGATTATTTACCAGCCAATGATCCTGAAGAGTTGTTCACTGAGAGAGTTGTAATGAATTTGATGTCGAAAAGTAGATTGTTAGATAAAGGGTACCACTTGTACACGGACAATTTTTATACAAAAATCCCCTTAGCTGAGCGACTCTTAGAACGTCAAACATATTTAACTGGAACAATTAATAAAAGGTCCAAACACCTGTCTACAACCGCCAAAAGTACAGTTCTAGGTGCCCGGGAAAGTATTTATTTCAGACAAGGTGATCTGTTACTTGTACAGTACAGGCAAAAAGCAAACCAGAAGCCTGTTTTTGTAATCACAACTGCCCACAATGCTGAGGATGGAATTGTTCGAAGCAAAAAGGGACTTGTAGGCCAAAAGCCTCTTTTGATACACGATTACAATCAATCAATGGGTGGAATCGACGCCAACGATAAGTCGGTCTACCATATGACGTGTAACCGTTCTACCACAAAGTATTGGAAGAAGATTTTTTTCAACTTTATAGACATTTGTATGGTAAATGCATATACTCTCTACAAATCAAACACGGACAATCCACTGGAGAGAAGAGATTTCCACATAGAAATCATTGAAGCTCTTGTAGCAGCAGGCGTCCCTCAGGAACCACTACCTGTCCCTGGACCTGCCGGAGATGTTGGAGATCGACACCGCCTTGACAAGCTGCCGAGGAAATGTGAAAGGAAGTGTATGGTATGCAGCAATGGAAGAACAAGATTCTGGTGCCCTGGATGCGACATAGGAGTGCACCGTGAATGCTACCATAACCTACAGCACTTCTGGAGGCCAACTCGTGGTGCTAAGCGGAGACTGCATAGAGAAAGTTCCGACTCCGAATAACATTTGTGATCATAATTTCTTTCTGTCTTCTAGGGGACTAATGTTTTTACTGTGCCTAAAAATTGTTTTCTTTGTTAGCCTACATTGTTCCAAATTTTTGTTTTACAAAAAGTGAGTGTTTTTTTATAACTTTGTTTCATTGTTTTGGTTGAGTGAACACTTGAAGTAAAAACATTTCCGCCTCTCCTTCAGTTTCATGGTCGATAGTAACAGAAATATTTTTCAGATAAGTATATTTTATTTTTATGCATGCATTGATGTAAAACAATAAATAATGAGTATTTTGTGGTATGCATGTGTTTTGCATGTGTGTTTTGAAGCATGTGTGCAAATTCATAGAATCTTGTAATATTGAGTGATTTCGCAACTGTTCTTGTATTATATTTTGTCATATAACTAACCTAAAAATTAAGCTAAGCCTACTAAAATGCATGTTATCTTTTTTGTTATAATATTTAGAAATAAATGGCTATCTCAGATTTTTCATATGGTTGAATTTATTTCTAAAACAAGGGGCACGAACATTTGAATTTTTTTTTATATATATTTTTTTTTTCAAAGCATTTTTTACTCATCAAATATGCATGAAACCCAAACATCTATGCTGCATTATGATCTCAGTGTATTTAGCTTCACAAAAATATATAACATGGTATAGTTCATCTGAAAAATAAATTTTATATAATTTTTTAAACATAATGCTGCGTAACGCCCAAAAATCGCCTGACACTACTGTACAGAAAAAATGACAGACACCAGGAGGGTTAACATAAAAAGTAGGAGTTTGAAAGTAAGTAGGTTTACACTAACTTTTAAATCAGTTTATATTTTTAAACTAATTCATGGAGTTGCAGTATTTTAAAACACACATCAGAATTACTTTAATAGCTCTCTAGGTCACATTTTCTTCCCGTTGCAAAGCACGGGTATTGCAGCTTGTTTATATTTAAATGATTACGGTATCTTGCATTATCTTCCTAAAAACTTACCTGATCTTCCTCTCCATTTTCAAACCTACAATTATATTTGTGCTCGTATAGAAACTCTTTCTCAATTTCCTCTTCTTCATCGTTCAACTTCTTTAATTCTTCTTCAAGGTTAAAATTATCGTCAGGTTCTAAGAATCTAAAAAGACAGGTAGAAATTGGGTAAAATTACTATCAGATCATCCAAAACCAAGGCCATGCAGTAAATTGAAGGCATATCATTCAACTAGATTTTTCCTGTGGTTTCGCTCGTGTTTGTATAATTTAAGTGGGTCTACAAAAAAAGATGACTAAAAGTAATTTTAAAATTTTTGAACTTTTTTTGGTTTTTCTTGCTGCTTTGGCAGAAACAACAGCAGGATATCCTCTCATATATATAATTGTAAAATAAAATTGAAAAAAATATATATTTTCTTAAAATTATTTACCAAAATTTAAATAAATATTAATCCCAGATTTTAATCAGTATCCGGTAGGTGTGCAGTTTCGCAGAGAACCTACAATGGGCCTCTATTATTGAACATAATTTTAATTTTATATCAATATCTATATCTTATCATTACATTAAACTAAACTAAGTTAATCTAACCAAATGCGGCATCACACATTAAAGTAGTGGCAGGGAAAAGACTCACAACAGAAAATCAATATTTACATTCAATATAATAGGCCTACGTTTTCAAATCCTAATTTTTTGGTTGTGTTGCTAGCCTAGTGGTTAGCGTCTCGTACTTCGGTTCGGTAGGGACGGGTTCCATCCCTGGCACATCCACTAATAATTTATTCTCTTGTGACTCTCTTGTAAAATGCCACTGGCGTAGAAAGAAAAAAAAATGAAAATGTCATCCGATAACACATCTTAGGTTCTCTGGGGGACTGTACTCACCAGTATGTTAGTATCTTAGCCTATGGTTTGCGATGGAGTGAGTGAGCAGAGAAGAATATAATTCTTTAAAATATTTAAAATTTCAAGAATTACCACCTTCAGCATGTATTTTACGTGTAACATATCCATCTAAGTTAGGGTCAGCCGGTACAGTACAAGAGTGAACTGTAAAGTTCGGCCAAAGTTTCTGTGTGTGCAGGCAGAACTGGTCGGGTCTTGGTAAGGGAGTTGGCGGGGGTGTTTTGTAAAAAAAATTGGTGTATTACTGCTCAGCGTGATTCACTCACCCAGCACCGCCAATAACCTGCACCCGTATGTTTTAGCGACCCGTCTACGCTCACAGAAGTTTTGGCCGAACTGTTCTGTAGTGGCAGTGCCAGAATGGGAGAACAAGGCTGTTAGTAATGCTAAGAATTCGTAGTCTTTTGCACTACTGGCTACCGATTCCAACACAAGCTTTTCTTTTTTATTCAACAAATCATTTGTTAAATCAATAACATAATAGGAAATCTCAGCGAACTTAAAACATACAAAAGTACTCACTTCTTATTTAAAATATAATCACGGAGAAACTGTTCATCCTTATTGAGAGTAGGATTAGTCCAGAAATTGTGCAGAGCATCCAAATCATTTTTAACTTGTTCATTTCCAACGTGTTCTTTCTGTCCTCTTAACCAGTCCCTGTATTCTTTCAGAGACTTCTAAATGAAAGAGAATTATTATATTTCGAGATTTCACATTAAACACATTTTCACATGTCTTCAATATCATAATAACAATGATGCTACAGTGTGGTGTCATTAGGTAGGCTACGTGAAGTGGTTAGTCCCTTACTTAATTTTCAGTTAAGAAATGTTCTACTGTAATTTCCTGTTATATTATAAATTATGACGCAATCTATCAGACTGGATCTGTCAAAGATGCAGGATTCAAGTATTCAAGTAAGTATTCAAGTATAGTAGATATTTTTACTTTACTGTGTAACGACCCAAAACCCGTCAAGGGGTAAAAACCCGATTTTTAAAAGTTTCATTTTAAGTTTTATAATTTTCTACTTTCGGGGTAAGCCGCGCCCGCGTTGTCAGCGGCATCGTAGGGGCAATGGTGCTACGTCATCGTAGAGGGGATGACGCTAGTTACCTACCCCGCCGCCAGGGGCGATGGCGAAGAAGGACCAGAAGAGCAGACCTCACGGTCAGTCGTCCACCCGCTACCGAACCGTCAGTACGCTTGCTGTTTGGAGCCAATCCAACAGTCTATAACCTCCTAAATTCTGGTCAATTAAAGATTTCCCCCGTTCCTGGTAGAATCATAAGTCATCAGGTTAGTGTGCTACCGAATTTATTTTGTTTAATCTCATTTTTAGAGAAGTTTTATTATTTTTATTTTACTGTGCCGCAGTCGCGCGCACCCAGCACGCTTTTTCACGTACGAGCACACTACCTTTTGTCTTAAACCAGCTTCGGAAATCAGTTAAGTTGCCGGAACGGTTTACGTACGACTTACCCCGTTACCCCGGACCGTCCTACGTAAATTTGGTTTAAAAACCCCGTATCGACTCTGGTGATCGACCGAGTCTAATTTTCCCGACAAGATTACTTTGGTGATTACCAGGTATAACGACCGAATCACGTTTTAGTTCAGTTTCTAATTAATTTAGGTTATCCGCATTCACGATAATTTATTCAAAATTCAAAACTTAACTTCACATATTTTTCGAGTGGCTATGATGAGCACTTGTTAAAGGTAAGCTTAACATTGTAAGCATTATTGTTGTATTTAATATTCTGAGCCAATAAACTCGAAACGATAATTAATTAACGAACACGTTAGAGTCCTGGACTATCTCATAGTAGGCTAAGCTATCTGGACAAATTTAAGGTGTGACAGAATTTCAGGTGAGACGACAATTACGTACTTTAAAATCTAATTTTGTCTCTCAACCCGAAATTTCGTCATAACTGTTAAAGAAGATATGAAGATAGAAGACCCCTGGAAGTTGACACACAAGCTGGCAAAATTTACATAGGGTGAAATGAATACAAACCGAAACCTTAATTGAAGAGCAAAGGCAATAAAAAGGTAGTTAAATATAATTCATGTTCTTGAAACTGGGATGACATAATTATGTACAGTACTTCACTTTTTTAAATGGCCAAACAAAATAAACTACATTACCTTTGGAGTTGATGATCCTTTGTCTGAATTCTGCTTATCTTCGTCTGCGGAGTTGGCAGGAAAAAATCTTATTCCTTCATCATACAGCTTTGATCCCTTTTTCTTTAGGTGGCTGAGAACCTTGTAAAACCCATCTTCGAGTTCTTCTGTCAACAGCTATAGCAGAAGAAACATACGTTAGGCATACTGCCTATATAATGATGAATTTTATTATTTTACCTGGGATGAGCCCAGTGCCAATTTGTCATGTCAACTCATGTACTGTAGTGGGCCTACATATATATGTGTTATGTGTTACCGTATGTGTATTTTTCTTGTATTGGGGTATATACAAGAATTCTAAGAAAAACATATATTGAAAGGTATGCTAAACAGTAAATAATAGATAGGATACACCCACCCTAAGTGAATTTCAATTTGACTGATTGGATTTTTACTAAACTTAAGTTAAATATTTCCATAAAAATAACGAATAGCTTACTTAGAATTGCTGCTTTGATTAAGGGAAAAAGTATTTTTGAATACAATTTTAATATCAGGTCTACTTATAGGATGAAATAAATGAATAGGTATGCCAGATTGAAACAAATAAATATCCATAAGGCATAAAGAAAGAAGCCATCTATAGCCTACAACAGTTTTCTTTCTCCATAAAAATAACATTGGAGGTTTATTTGTAAATATGCTCCTGTACAGCTTTTGTAAATATGTTAATCGCAAATATGCTCCAATGAACAAAATAAACTTATTTATTCGTTTTTTTCAGCTCCATACACAGTCTGTATTGAAAATCGGAATGCCGGGCAAAAGCGGACACGGAACATTGGGGACACTATAAAGAGGGCAAAAGTGAACACTACTAGGGATTACACTAGTAGGGATTACTGCTCTCTGACAAAGGGTTGGATGGTCTCTGCAAATATTTCATGGGTGGAACATTGCAGACACATGTAACTAGGACGGGGAAATGGTGCGAGAGAGGGAGGCCACGGGTATTTTGCTGTTTACAATTTTTACTCCGTTCTATTTATATGGAGACTATTCCTATACGCATTACGTTCGTGCGTAGAAAGTTTTAAAAAATGGCTCAAAGGATTTCCAAAATTGAACTAATAGCCTTCGACAAATGTCAATTATCATGAATATTTTGTAAAACTTTACTGTTGATATTTTATATATTGGGAAACTGGGGCACAGTGGGCCATAGTTAATATATTATACTGAACTACTTCCAATAAACCAGGTAAATTTTCTTTTGAAAGGTCTCTAGGTTGGTCACACTGAGGAGAAAAATCTAGAGTCTACAACTATTTGGAGGGAAGTTTGGGGGAGCACATGTTTGTTTTTGGTAGTCTGATTGGTGAAACAGGTAGTGTTAAGATATCTTATTTTGGCCAAGTTATTGTATATATTAAAAATGAAAATTAACATAGATATTTAGTTTTATACCTTACCAAGCCACTCCACTTCCTTTCTTTTGTGTATTCATCTTAGTTTGGTGGTTATTAAATCTAACCTAAAAACCAACATTAGGAGCACAGTGGGCCATCTTTGGCGGGGCACATTGAGCCTAGCTCTTGAACAGGACATAGAACGGAAACTTCCAAAACCAATACCACATGGAGGCACAGAAAGGACCTTAACTCAATTGAGCTTTTCTATAGATCTTCAATGTTACGGAAATTGTTTTTCCTGAAATTTTGAAACAATCGTCTTTTTATTTTTAAAGATTTTTTTATATCAAAGGACTTCTAATTTTAAAAGATTTTCAATTCTAAAGGGTTGTTAATGTTTGTTAAATTATGTTCATAGGTTTTCAACTTCATAGCTTTTCTTATACTGCACCATTGTGGGGTAGAGTGGGCCATTATGTAAATAGTTTAAAAAAAATTACTACAAATTTTATTTTTCATAAAAAAATCTGAAAAAAAATTGTTAAGATCAATGAAATATGGTAGGCCTACTTTACTATAAAAATATTAGTTTTGCATTTAGTAAAGTCATTAATAAATTGTAATAGCAAATATATAAAACTGGCCCAGGGTGCCCTGGTCTCCCCTATTCAATGTAGATCACTCGTCAGTAAAGAAGTGTAATTTTTAATCAAATGAACAATGAAGACGGGTCATATCAAAGAGAAATTGGCTTCCTTAATTTATTAAATTAAGTAAAACTGAACTGAATTTAGTAGGCTAACTCTGAAAACAGCATTCAACTAGCCTATATATACGATTTTGGTAAAATTTGGAACAAACATGTAAAACCAAGTTTTTTTTGAAGGAGCTTGCGAACTAGCATGGCCGGACTAATAAAGTAATTTAAGTTGAGAAAACCAATATCTCTTAGTGATACCCGTGGCTTCCCTCCCTCGCACCCTTTTCCCCGTAGTAGATACATGTGTTCGCAATGTTCCACCCTCGTAATATTTGCAGACTGCCAACCCTTTGTCAGGTGGCAGTATTCCCTAAATAGTGTCTTTTTTTAACTTATAAGTTTTAAAATTAAAAAAACCTATTTTTTAGTTTTTAAATCAACCTACTTATAATCAGAGCTGCGTTAAGCCCCCTGCAAACTCAAAAGCAGCGCCCCTTTTTTTCCTAGTGCGGGCGGTAGATGGACGTGCAGTGCCTGCCAGGCGCCCCTGGGCATATGCCCAGTCTGCCAGTTTATAAAAGCGGGCCCTATAATAAATGAAAGAAGGTTCCAGAAATAATAGTCATAACTTACTTCGGCGTTTTCATCTTCTTCTGACGATGAAGAGCTGTCATCATCACTGGGGTTTTCTTGGTTATGAAGCTTTTGTTTATCTAAAGAGCAAACAAGACAAATATATTCATAAAAACGTTGGTATGGACTATTAACTGATGTTTATGGTACGGTATTACGATCATACAAAACCCTGTAGTTTTAAGGAATTAGAACAGACTTTCTTAGCCACTCATAATTTACCGGTAAGCCTACTTAAATTAACTCTGAATATTTAAACAATAAACATTAAAATTTTATGTTCGGCTCCACTAACAATGTAAATGCATGTAAATGTCCATGATAATAAATTATTTGATTTGATTTACAAAAAGGTTAACAATACTAAGTTAACATGACTTAACATTTAGCGTATTTTTATGTTATTGTTGAAGTTATCCAGAACTGATAGGTCTAAAACAAGGGGTGGGGGGGGGGGAGAATCAGTTTAGGTCTAACAGGAAAAAGACCCTTGGTTCCACTCAATAGCCTAAGTTACCTACTACAAGATTACGGCTCTTGTGAAGATGAAAAATATGCTTTAAGTAGGTAGCCTACCTAAAATTAATTTTATTGCTCATCCCATTGAACCATTATTTACCTTCTTTCATTTTCGGATTGGAGAGAATTAAGAATCAACAACACCTTTTATTTAGTTGAGATATCCACTAGGCCTATCCACTCCAGTTCCAGTAGTAAAACACACAGCATAACATAACCTACAAACAAACACAACACAATCTTAAATCCCACCTGTCCTGCTGCAGACTGCACTGAGCTAATCGCTCATTGGTTCACGGCATGTACAAGAGTAGGCTTATTTTATTCTATGAAGCTGTGATGTATACTCATCGTTTAGTTCCCGGATAAGTGGTTCAAATCATCATTGATTTAATTATACTAATTAAAATAATGTTTTGGCATTGTGTTGTGCAGTCTTGTTCGTCATCCGAACCGAATGTTACTGTATGAAGTAGAAAATGAAAAAGGCAAATTAGTATGCTAATGTGTTTTTATCACCGCAAAAAAACCTAAAGAAGTATCATTGGAAATATCGGCGTAATTGCCATCAACAATATAACAAAAAAAAAATTAAAAATATATAACTCTATAACAATCTCTTTCGCGATACTCTCAAAAAGAAAAGGTATCAACTGGATTTAAAATAACAGCTTGGTATAGCTATTGCGGAATTTCCCATAGAGAGAATAATCTATTATTATATATGGATCTCTCGTGGTAAGACCTGGACACGAAACCGATTTACTTTTATTGTTTTGATGAGGTCTCCAGTTATCAAAATCACTCTCCAGTCTCCGCTCAAATTCGTATTTCTATATGTGTTCTTTAGAACGATAACACGAGCAAAATTTATAAATAAAAAACTGTTTTAAACAAAACTTTTTTAAACGCCCTAAAAAGTAGAAATAATTTACAAATAATTTATAAATATGTTGAGAGAGTATAAATACTTGTACGATTTAAAACGAAAAACGTTGCGTGCATGCAATTTGTTGATAATAATACATTAGCTCAGTAGGTGAAGGTAATTGTAAACTATCTATTGCATGCACCCCACGTTTTTCGTTTTAAATCGTACAAGTATTAAATTTATACTCTCTCAACATATTTATAAGTTATTTGTAAATTATTTTCTACTTTTTAGGGCGTTTAAAAACGTTTTGTTTAAAAAAGTTTTTTATTTATAAATTTTTTTATACTTTTTAGTTTTAATGTGTGTGCATGTTAAATCTATTTCAAGCGTCTATATCAGATTAAGACAGAGGCATGTGGGAAATCTAAGGTTTATTTGAGTTTCTTTGCATATAATTATGTATTAGATTGCATGTATGGCCTACCTACTAACTATAAATATATCAACCTATTTGATTTATTGTTTAAAAAGGATCCGATTTTGATAAAATTTGTTACAAAAGTGTGGTGTAATCCTATACGTTTATTCGAACAAGTTCACAAACCAGCATGGTCATTTATTTGGACTCTAAAAAAAAAGTTTTGCAATATCTTTCTAAAACTTTTTTGTAGTGATAAAATAAATAAATAGCCTAATTTTAGTTTAATGAAACATTGTTGTATGCCTAACAGTTTAGGAAACAATTTAAAAGTGTTAATTAAAAATTATTAAACGGAGAATAAATAAACTGTTTTTGTTCGATTGTTTATGGATATATTTGAGTAAAATTTGGCAATTATGGTTTATTTAATACTAAACTATCAACATTTCATTTAGTGTGCAGGTTTGCTGTGGCGGGGGTCTATGATGACTGTTTCAAATGTATTGCATTTGACTTTTATGATTGCCTCTTGCTTGAAATTGAGCGTAAAGAATTTGAACTTTGAAAATATTGATAAGCCTAATATTCTCTAGTTCAGTTACACATTATTGTACTAAATTAAGAGAAATTGCATTAGACATATTACCACCTTTAAAGTTCGTAATTTAAAAACATCATCGTAATGAGAGAGCCAGTATCATCAGTAGTCTCTTCAAAGGTTTCTTTGCTTGTGACAAAACTATAAGCATGTAATTAATTGTGGATGATAACGGGGATTTTTAGCCTGAGTCTATAGGCGTTTAGTTTACGAGTAAAAAAACTCCCAAGTTTTTTACGGGGCTTGCAAGATAATTGTTATGACTCTTCTTCTCTAATAACCCAAAAGTAACACGTAACAAGTTTAGTATACAGTATTCATACGGTATGACAGCTATAACAATATAGTAAAGCACAAGTATTGTAGTATGTTGTATACTATGTGAATACGTCTCTCTTTTAAGAGTACTCAAGATTGCAAAATACTTATACGACGAATCGGTAGAGGTTCAAACCTTATAGACATAACTAAATTATTTGGATGCTTCATACATTACATAAGATTTTTCTTTTCAATACAGTAGTAGATTGACGATTAAAGACTTATAAGCGTTATTTATAGATTACAATTTACATTTAATATTACCAACAATACAAATTGAAATTAGATCCATCTATGTGAGTTTAGAAAAAAAAAAACTATATCGTTCACTTGATTTGTAATCTGTGCGGAGTCAAGTCGCCCTGAGGATGGTGCTCTATTATATATCGAGACCGAAACGTCGGAGAGTAAAAGTAGTTATTTGTTGAATTTTTCACGGTCGTTAGCAGAAGACCACGATAAAAAGAACTATAGTTTATTTGAGTTCGTATTGAACAACAAAATCCCAACGAATCAGACTTCTCACATATAAAAACCGAGGCGGGAACAAGTTTCGATTTACTCCGCTGGGTAGCGCATTCGGCGGCGTCGTGACAGTAGGCAGTTGCCCTTTGCCCATTGAGCATACAACATCCAACAGGCTTAAACCACTCTCGTGGAAAACAAATTGCAAACATCCCGGCCGAAATATACCACAACACCTTTAGTAACCCTGGTAAATAAAGTTGAGCCCTCCTCCCGTTGTAAGATTCAGACACTAATCTCACATTTGATGCTCGGTGACGCACTCCAGACGGGCGGCCGCTGTAGGCTCGTGTCGCCGAATCAATAAAATGGCGGCCGGAGTGCGCGGGCGCGTCACAATCGAACTGCCCGGGCCGCCTTACTGAGCGTGAGGTGTGTACTACATTCTGTACACTATGGAACGTCTAATCCTTCTTTTATAATCACGCGAACCCGATGTGACTTTGTGGGTGCTTCGTGAGTGTGCCTTCTTCTGGAGTTTCTACTTCCGCGGGTATATGATATGAGTGAGTTCTAACATGTCTACCTCGCTAGTCTTACTCGTCGTGCTCCTGGTGGGTCGACTGCCGGTCTCCTACCAACAGGACGAGGACATCCCCCATAATGAGTAAGTAGGATGAGTTATAGAGGGAAGTCTAGAAGGAGGGTGAGGCCATAATGCTAAGAGGCCCGACGAACCTGCCTGGATACGAGTTTCTTGAATGTTATAAAGTCTCCCTGTATAAACTCAACCATTAAATAATTTATTTTATCTAGAGTTCGGATGAAACCTTACAACAAACTATTCGAATATGTACGTCTGTACAGCCTTTTCGACTGGAAATAAAGGTCGTATACACGAAGAAAAGGATTACGAAAATTGCCTACTGGCATTCTTACTTTAAGAGCGGTACGTGTAGGCCTAACTAAAATTTAACCACGGTACATTTATATTCTTGGTATTTTTTAATAGAAGAAGAATATAAGATAATAAAGAAATATGTTTAAAAAGATAAATTTACGATTTTGAACCACGAAAATTTTAGTCGGCCTAAACTTTTATTTTTTCTCGACTTTCTCACCTCTCCTTATTATCTGCTTTCATGGTACATTGTGATCATAATCCACTCAATTTTCTTCAAAAGTAAATTCAAGCTTCAAGTCTAAAACATGTATTTTTGTAAAAATACTTGTATTTTCTAAACGACATGATATTCATCCTAAAGTGTGTGTATTCCGTTTGACATCACATTAAAAGAATCTTCAACACACTCAAAAACATTCGATGAAAATTGCTCTAGTAAATTTTATAATAAAATCATGATACTGTATCCCTCAATATACTGTTTTCTTACGAAAATGTTTGATTAAGTTAACAGTTTTTAAAATAACATGTATGTAATTTATACAAAATTTGACACACGTTGTTGATATTGAAATTAATCACTGACATCTTTACCATATCTGTGATTATATGTCACCACACATGGCGTGCTTAAAACAGTAATCTTTACAGGCTAAGCGAAATAATGAACTATAAAACAAGTTTGTAAGTATTGTAATAATGTAATAGTGTTGTAACTTTTGTTGTAACTGTCTTTTATAAAAATGTACGCACTTTCCAACACAAGTAATGATTCTTAATCAAAAGTATTGTACTGAATGAGAATCATTTTTGTTACCTACTCTACTACATTTATTTTACATTTGGACTTTCTACAATTTAAAGCACACTTTACTACACCACAGCTAGTTCAGTCACTCTAACAACGTTGAACATCTTGGAAGGAGCTGCGAAGTTTTCAGAGGTGATAAAATGCAGCTGTGATCGTAACAATTAAGACATCATCTTTGTAACTAACCTCACCTGGGATACGATTATAAGATCATAAACTCTCTTCATTTAGTCTCAAACTGTAACTGGAAATGTAACGATGTCATTCAAAGGTTTACGATTGAGAAATGTCTATATTTTTGGTGAATACACCTTAATGGCGGAGTCATAATCCTCTGGAATATTACCCCACCCAGGGTATTGATGTCACGATTATGTCTCATTTTCCCAACCCAATAGGCGGATCCGAGTCTGAGTTGTACACCTTGTCAGTGTCTTCCTTTAAGGGTCGGAATCAAAAACCCCCGGACTTTATACCCTCCCCTATTACTCACACCTCTACCGATCAGCTGTTTTTTTCTAAATTATTTGTATATTTGAACTCTGCAAAATAATTTGTATAGAATCTGCGAAATTTTATATTTTAAGGGTCAAAAATGGGATAACCAATTTGTACCCAAGACCCAGTTCCCATAGTACGATCATGCTGGTTCACAATCTACTTAGAATAAACGTAGACTTACACGCTTATGCTGAACTTCATCACATCAGATAGTTTTTACTCGAATTATAAAAGTGGCGCTGGTTCTAGGTCTTACCATGAGACCTACTGTGATAGCTTATTCCATGTAAAAATTCGCTAAATCCAGAATTTTGACTGTTGCTTAGAAAAAATCAACGACATGGATAAAAAACTCATACAGCATTCGCCCACACAGCTGGTAGAAGTTTTGGACATTTTGGGGCGTGTATTTGCAAACAATTAAATCGTCAGTCCACAATAATCGGTCATCAACATCTGTTCCCCACGAATGCAGACAAACATTGTGAATTGAGGTCAATGAACCTTTCTGTGTATAACAAATTGACTTTTATGTTGTTTTTGTATTTGACCAAATATATAGCAAAGAACACTTGACTGCCATGATATTTAATATAGTATTCATACATCAAATATGTTACATTCAATTGCAATTTGTAATACAAACATTTTAACCAAACGGAAAATAGCAAACAAAACAAAGCTATTCAAATTTATCACCTCAACACTTGCGTTTTGTATTGGGGCATCTCTAATTATATATAAAAATTACCAACAATTTTAAAACCAACTTGATTTCTGCAACTAAATTCAACACTAAGCATAATTGATGTTTTTAAAATGTTAAGCTAATTTATTGTCACTGATGACAAGTGTAGCCTAATCTAAATACATATATATTTATTATTTATCGAAAATAACATAAAATATGCTCATGTTGTCACGTCACTATATTTTTATTCCACCACAACAATTTATGGTCAGATTTAATTTAAAGATTTTATTATCAAACCTTTGTACCTTTTAGCCTTTGCATCAAACCTTTGGCTTTTAGTATCGAGTTTGATAAAACCAAGAAAATTCCCTTCAGCAGAATGTTTTTACTTTTTTTGTATTCTATGTGTATCTACAGCTTATTGTTAGAACCACCGAATCTGAACACGGTTTTACTAAGCCAAAAGCCATCAGTGATAAGCGGGGATTGAACTTAGTTCCCCAAAATATCGTGCTCTGATTACAACAGCAGCTGCTATCCCAGACACAAAATATAACAGAAAATATCCTAAGAGGACTTAACAAAACGAACCTAAATGGAAATTGACCTATTTATATTTTTAAATCAGACAAAAGGTTCTCCCATCTAAACATGACCTTGTCACAAACAGTGGCATAGTAGTGCCTAAATTACTTTCCTGAAGAGTTATCCAACAGAAGAGTCTTCTGGTAATTTTGAGAGTTTTGTAGTGGCGCACCTCTAACAACGCCCTTGATGGTACTACACTAGTGGCAGTGTGAATATACAATTAGGTCTTACCTTTAAACTTCCTCTGAGTCCCCCGACATGTTTTACGAATATCTGTAGAAACTAAAAAGTGTTTAAGTCACTGCTTGACTCACCTTTGTCGGTAACACATAACACGTATTTTGCGAACTTAAGGGTTATTTGTGGGAATATGGGTGATAGACTTTCACCCAATTAACTTTTAAATCTTCTTTCCTACATAACCTAAGGCTACTGACATAAATAAATCAAACCAGACCAAACCAAACTTTCACAACCATGTGTATTTAACAAACATGGTATAATTTAGTATTCACCCACTTGACATTGTCCCAGAATCCTCTGTGTGTGTAGGAGGTGGTGTGTATTACTCTATGGCGTGTAGACTTTACTTTATTGCTCTATGGGCGACGCCCGCCCACACAATGCACCTACGCAGCACTTTGCATATTTTGCAGGTGATTTTATGCTGATGACACAACGAGTCCAGCGCTAAAATGATCGTTTATGACAATAGCGTAACAATCTGTGACCGGATTTTAAAAAAAAATTCAAATGTCACAGAAAATAAAAATGTAACTTTACAAATATGTTTTTTATCCCGTTTTCTAACTGCTGTGAATGTAATGTATATTTATCGATATCGTATCGAAAGGTGTAATATTTAACAACCCCTGATTTACTAAATATTGCCACATTACCCCTGCTCGACTTCAGTGTCAAAATAACAAGTTTTTATCAGGGTTTGGACAAACCTAACTCTCCTTTAGTAAACATAACCAGAGATTAAAAGTGTTCTGTCTTTAATCAAATCTAGATTCATTGGATTTACATGTTTGAATATAGGTGTATATTCATCGAATTAACATTTTTAATTCTTACAACTCGTGTGTCTTTAGTGGATTTTCTTTGTAAGTTAATTGATTAATTGATTAAATGTTATGATTTTAAAAATATGTGTTTTGGACAGCCAGATTTGTTTACTGCCAAAAACAAAAAGGGCAGTTGTATTTTTTAGGAATTCACTCAGTTTGCCCATTATTTATTGTTCCTACATGCTAATTTACTTTATTTACAGAACTCATAGTGAAAATAAGAAACAGCATTATTATTGTACTCGTAATCAGGACTAATGTTAATTTTGACTATTTATCCATCATAGTTTATATTAGTAGAACCATACAGAGAATTAAACCACCGAAACATTCTCCTTACAGTTGTTTCATCATGGGATCAGCTGAAGGAAATTTCAATGTTAGGGTGTTTTGTGGTTTTCTTCATTTTGTTAACTAATTTTCAAACCACTTCCACCAAAAAAATTATGTATTTATGCATCATTGTTCTGTTGTAAAGCCAAAGATTAGCAAATATCATAAAAATATACGCTAAAATAATAGAAAATACATTTAACCAAAACTTACCAACAAAAATGCTATAAACGTTATAAAAGCATGAAGTTCTATTTGTAATATTCTACAAAGAAGTCAGTCTTAGAATATTGTATGTGTTAAATGATAATAAATTAAAACCAAATTAACATCCTAAATAAACCAGCCAAACCTCGATCAAACCTATAAAAATTAATTTCCATCAACCCCTTTTGATTGTTGAAACAGAAAGTCACACCTTGCAGAACTGCTCAACTGAAAACGAGTATTTCACATCAAAGCCAACGTTACTACAGCTTCTGTGTACCGGGTACGTGTTGAAGTGTCTTCATTTGGAACAATCGAAAACTGACGTAAGCCCTTGTGATGTTGCGTACACATGAATGAACCCCCCTCCCTTACACCCACATTGTAACTGATACCCCCTTCCACTCCTAAGGCTATCAAACTACATTCTCTTTTATTAATGAACGTTCGATATCCATAGTCATATCATTGTGGATATTGCGGGGAGGCTTTTGGTCTTACGGAGGAATCTGAAGGCTACTTTGAACTTCTCTTGAAGATTTAGCTGAAGAAGATT